GTAAAGTCGAACCCCATTAACAAGCCATGTAACGTGGTTGGCCTGTTCCACAACCCGGTAACCAGAATATAAAGCATGAACACTAATCACCTTCTCCCTTGCCCTTGCTCCAGGCATTCGCCAAAACTTCCTTGTGAGTCGCCTATTTCTGGGGTGGGGGAAGCGCCACAAAAGCTCTTGAAGAGTCCATATAACATGTACATTTTACCCTCTCCCTTTGCCCTTCCTCCAGGCATTCGCCAAGAGCTTTCTCGCCGGGGATTTGAAGCCCTTTTACAAGTCCGAGCCTGTTCCCAAGACGATTTAGGTTTCACATAACCTGTACATCACCTTCTCCCTTTACCCTTCCTCCAGGCATTCGCCAAGAGCTTCCTCGCTGGGGATTTGAAGCCCTTTTACAAGTCCGAGCCTGCTCCTGAGAAGGTCAGTGTGGAGGGTTTAAAGGCTTGTAGATTGACAGGTCGTAGGCTGGGGTCCTAAACTACAAGGACGGGGATTTGAAGCCCTTCTACAAGTCCGAACCTGCTCCTGAGAAGGTCAGTCAGTGAGCGGCCTGGACTGCAAGATATCAGTCGTGTGGGCTGCTAACTTATAGGCTACAATTTGGGACAAAGGCCAAAACTAGAAGAGGGGATTCGATGCCCTTTCACAAGTCCGAGCTTTGCCAAGAGAAGGTCAGTTCAGAAGGGCCTAGATTTCAAGCTTTAATTAAGCCAGAGAGAGGCTTTTGGTCTGATATGCCATGAAGTCGATGCTCTTCCATCCCTGATTCCCCCTATGCATCCGTTGCCCCACCCCACTATCGCCCTATCCCCCTACCCCCCTCCTTATCAGAACGAAGGCCCTGTGACTGTGGTGTTGGGTTTGGGAAGAGTAGCTGTGTATAACCAGGCAGAACAGGCCCCTTATGCTTCCTTGTCCCCATGCCCTCTTCATCCCTGTCCAACTATCCCTCTGTCCACCCTGTACCCCAGAACGACGGCCCTGTGACTGTGGTGGTGGGCGACACGTTTGAGGAGACCTGCTTTCCCTGATCTGTCTTTTAAGGCGCCTTACGCGTTCTCGTCCCCCCGCCCACTACGCCTCTGTCCCGTCATCCCCTTTCTCCCCATGTCTCCCAGAACGATGGCCCTGTGACTGTGGTGATGGCCGATACTTTTGAGAAGATTGTTGTGTTGGCACGACAATAAGCCTCCCAATGCTTCCTTGTTTCCGTACCCCCTCGTTTCTCTCTCCCCATGTCTCCCAGAACGATGGCCCTGTGACTGTGGTGGTGGGCGATACTTTTGAGAAGATTGTTGTGTTGGCACGACAATAAGCCTCCCAATGCTTCCTTGTTTCCGTACCCCCTCGTTCTCTCCCCATGTCTCCCAGAACGATGGCCCCGTGACTGTGGTGGTGGGTGAAGACGCTCCTTGCCTCAATGCCCTCTACACCTCTGTCCCGTCATCCCTCTGTCCACCCTGTCTCCCAGAACGACGGCCCTGTAACTGTGGTGGTGGGCGATACTTTTGAGAAGATTGTGCTGGACGAGTCCAAGGATGTGCTGCTGGAGGTGAGACAGGGGCTAGGGGAGGGGTAGTAAGAGGGGTACTTGTTGGTGGGGAGGATGAGTAAGGTGAACTGAGGGAAGGCTGGTTTGGGTGGGAAGTGAGAAGATTGTGCCGGACAAGTCCAAGGACGTGCGGCTGGTGGTGAGAGAGAGGCGGTGGAGGTGAGGTTGCCTGATGGGGGCTGAGAAGAGTAGATTGATTAGAGGGGAGGTTGGTTGGGTGGACACTGTTGTGATTGCCAAGATGCGCGTTCCTTTCTCCTCCCCTCTTCCCCCCAGGTGTACGCCCCCTGGTGCGGCCACTGCAAGTCCCTCGAGCCCACCTACAAGAAGCTGAAGTCTCATCCCAGTTAGGGGGGCTTCCAACTGACTTGACCCCAGTTATGTCCCCTGTTTAACAACTCCCCTCTGTTTGCCTTCAGGTGTACGCCCCCTGGTGCGGGCACTGCAAGTCACTCGAGCCCACCTACAAGAAGCTGAAGTCTTAACCTTCACTCACCATGTCTTCTTGCCTTCTCTTCTTTCCATGATGTCCCCCTGTTTACCTTCAGGTCTACGCCCCCTGGTGCGGCCACTGCAAGTCCCTCGAGCCCACCTACAAGAAGCTTCAATGCTTTATGACAAATATGTCCCTTCCTATCCTCTCTCCTCTCTCCCCTCAGGTGTACGCCCCCTGGTGCGGGCACTGCAAGTCACTCGAGCCCACCTACAAGAAGCTGAAGTCTTAACCTTCACTCACCATGTCTTCTTGCCTTCTCTTCTTTCCATGATGTCCCTCTGTTTGCCCTCAGGTCTACGCCCCCTGGTGCGGCCACTGCAAGTCGCTCCAGCCCACCTGTACAAACCCTGAGTCTTAACCTTCACCCACCATGTCCTTTTCCCTTCTCTTCTTTCCATGATGTCCCTCTGTTTGCCTTCAGGTCTACGCCCCCTGGTGTGGCCACTGCAAGTCGCTCGGGCCCACCTACACGAACCCTGAGTCTTAACCACGGTTCTGTCCCTTATTCGCCCCATCCCTCTGCTCCCCCAGGTGTGCGCCCCCTGGTGCGGCCACTGCAAGTCGCTCGAGCCCACCTTCAAGAATCCTAAGACTTGTCCCCCACCCACAATGTCCATTCTTCTGCTCTTTTCCATAATCTCCCTCTCTTCTCCAGGTCTATTCCCCCTGGTGCAGCCACTGCAAGTCGCTCGAGCCCACCTTCAAGAATCCCAAGGCTTGTCCCCCACCCACAATGTCCATTCTTCTGCTCTTTTCCATAATCTCCCTCTCTTCTCCAGGTCTATGCCCCCTAGTGTGGCCACTGCAAGTCCCTGGAGGGACTTTATCGTTCCCATCGTTCCCTTTCTATTCCTGTCCGTCTCTTCCCCTCAGGTGTACGCCCCCTGGTGTGGCCACTGCAAGTCTTTTGAGCCCACCTACAAGAAGCTTCATTGCTTTAAGACAATTATATCCCTTTCTATCCTCTCTCCTCTCTTCCCTTCAGGTGTACGCCCCCTGGTGCGGCCACTGCAAGTCCCTCGAGCCCACCTACAAGAAGCTGGGGAAGCGATTCGCGTCGGTGGACTCTGTGGTGATCGCCAAGATGGACGGCACTGCCAACGAGTACCCTGGCCTGGAGGTGCGTGGTTGTTAGGGCAGTGCACCCAAGGGTGGCATGTGCCATGTGTGTGGTTCAGCTAGCTAGTCATGTGCGTCGGTGGAGTCCGTTGTGTTTGCCAAGATGGATGGCACGGCCAACGAGTATCCTGGCCTGGAGGTGGGGGGGGGGAATCGTGCGAGTCACTCTATCGCCTTTTTGCCTGTCTTCGCACTTTGTGTCACCTGATTTCTCATCCCCTCTGCCTATGTGTCACTCTCTCTGGACACGTTACATCCTCTCTTTTCTGCCTTTGTGTCGAATTCTCTGCCTGGGTGTCACGCTTGCTGCTTTCTCTTACCTTTTCTGCCCACGTTTCACCTTCTCCCTATGTCTCAACCTCCCTCTCTGCCCACGTTTCACCTTCTCCCTGTGTCTCAACCCCTCTCTGCCCGCGTGTCATCCTTCCTGAATGCAGGTTGAGGGTTTCCCAACTATCTTCTTCTACCCAGCCAATAAGAAGTCCGACCCAGTAAGCCCATCATGCTTTCCTCTCACACCTCCCTCCTTTCGCCCCCTTCTTTTCTATCCTCTTCCCCTCTCCTTCCCCAACTATCTTTTTTCCCATCCAAATAAGCCAAAACTGCCTTGCCCTCTCAAATCCCCCTCTCTCCCCACCCTTAGCTCTCTCAAGCCTTCCCTCTCTCTCCACTCCTACTCATGCTTCCCTTAGCTCTCATCAACCCTCTTCCTCCCCTCTGCCCTTTCTCCCCTTTCTCTCAAACCATCTTTTTCTACCCGGACAACAAAAAATTGACCCAGTGCCTCACTCCCTTGAACCCACTCCCCATAGGCTAGGCATCCCTTTCCTCTCTATACCATACCAATTCTTTTTTTTCTTTAGATGATTCATGGAAGCTTGGTACTTAAATTCATCGCTTCGACTTCCCATGTTCTGTGTTAAACCGCAGGTGAAAGTGCAAGCCACGAAGCTGAAGCAGTTCATTAAGGTGATTGTTGAGAACGCTGCAATCAAGTTTGAACTGCCCGCCAAGGAGAAGGAATCAGGAGCAGCAACTGAGGGGGCTGCAGAAGCAGCAGGGGAGGAAGTGAAGGATGAGCTATGAGTAATGAGCAATGAGCTGTGAGCTATGAGTTATAAGGACTGAGCCTTGAGCAACATTTTGTGAGAGGTTGGTTGGGAAACAACCCCATGAGTCATTCTACTGGCTCATTTTACCAGACAGGCTTCAAGGTTGCCAGGATATGCTGTTTTAGGAATAAACGTTCCATTCCTTGAGCTAAGATGATTCAATTCACGAAGGATGCTAACCAAAACTTGTAGCAGATGCCTGACTACAGAAGGGAGATGGGCCACTACAGCGATGATACACTTCAGTGGATTCCCTGTGAATGCCCCGGAAAAAACTGATGGTTTTCTCATCAAGACAACTGAGCGGAGAAATGATGACACCGGCTAACAAACCAAGGCAGTGTTCATATCATCAAGCAGCAGGGATGGGACTGCCAGAATCTCTAAAATCTGAATATTCTCACTGGAATGGAATGTTTCTTCCTACCTTTGTGGCCTTTAGGAATGGCAGTAAATTCGGATGCCCAGGCTGCTGAAGGTGTGGTTTGAGATCTATGCACTTCTGCCGCTAATTGTAGGATAGTACACGGCTGATTGCAGTTGAAATTTCAGGCCAGATGCTGAATAAACTTGCGTAATTTCAGTATATGAATTCACCCCATCCATTACACTATGGGGTCATTCCGTATATGGTTACAGCATCCCTATCGTCTAGAGTCCAATCAGGATGCCCGCTACAGTAGTCTCCGTTACTCGACACAAAATAGTGTCATTTCGTCTACATTACTTTCCCGTCAAGAGTAGTGGGAAACGCGATGGCATCCGTGGTGTGCACGATAAGCTTTCCAGTTTTGACGTAAAAGTTTAGCTTGGTGATTGCCATCGTACTGCCCTTCTTTCCCTGAAGCACCACCTGGCCCTTCTTGTTGTTCGCCAGCTTCTGCAGCGTCATTGGCTTGCCGTTTTTGAACGTGGTCAGCGTGGTGATGTTTTTTCCCTCGGGCAGCGATTTGAGCACGTCGCCTGGGATGACCTCCTTGAACGCGCTGAATCCGACAAGCGCTGCGAGCTCCGTGGTTTTGTAGGACGTGATTTTCACCTTGCTGATTGCATCGTTGCTAGGCACAAGCATCGTCAGCGGCTTGGAGAGTGCGGCTTTAACCTCCTTGATTTTGCCTGGAAGTGGAATGGGGAAAGGTGGAGGTGCGCGTTTTGAGATATTTAGTCTGCTGCTTAGAAAGGTAAGTGTTTTGGTGTTGTGCGCATCCGCGGGCGCCCGAAGTGCTTCGCTTACGCGTTTCTCAGTTCTCACCGTAAGCATTGACGAGGGAGACGAAGTTGGTGTAACCCGAATTGTTGAGCTTCTGGATCGCCTCGTCGAACGGCGTCTGCGGCGCCTTCCCTGCAGGCGGAGATGGTGCTCCCACGGCCTTCCCGGGAGTTGTCTTGGGCGAAGTTGTTGTTTTCGGCGCGGGTGATTGAGCCGAGCAGACGACGGCAAGACCAATGAGTGCTAGCAGCAGAAGGGCGGATTGAGAACGTGCCATGGCTGAGAGAGAGGGTGAGAAATGAATTCGATCAGGGATGTTGCGATCAACTCGTAGTTGTTTGCAGGTTGCAAACCGAGTTGATAAAGGGGTGATGGTTGCTGAACTGAGGAATGATGAAAGGTTGATCCAATTTCGAGTTTTTATCCCAATCCCAAATCGACTCAACATTTGAGAAATTTCGGGTGTCGAGTCGCGTCTCGGGTGCTCGAGTTTCGGCTTCCGACCGAACCCACACAACTCAGCGTTGAACGCGGCGGAGATAACGGCTCCCGCAGTCTAGTCAAGCTCGAAGGGCGAAAGATATCATCCACTGCTGTGCGACCCGAAACGACTGCGCGCGACACGAACAGAAGTTACTTTCGATATCAAGTGGCGGACGACGTGCCCGAACAGAATCTCAACTTGCCGTTACGATTCTTCCGTGTATTCGCCCGCTCGCAAAACCACTGACGATCGAACTGTTGCGGTTGACGAATGTCGTAAATCCGACGCCATAACTGTGGGCAATCGTAGAAGTTTCACACGTCATCGACATAAGCTGTACTGCTACAATACTCCTTGTTTTGAAACCAGGACCCATATGTTCTGACACAGCGTAAATGCGCAGATTCAATCTACGTCGCACAGCGACAGTCCATTGCCTGTCGGCGATTGTGAGCTCCGTCGTTTGATCGCAGCGTCCACACCAGGCCATCGCAAAACCGACATCGTCACGTTTTGACGAGGGAAGGAGGGAAATGAATTTGGACGCCACCGTCCACGCCCACGTCGCAAGGCTTACAATCAATCCAGCGTTGTCGCGTGGATTTCACTGAGGAGCTCTGATTCGTCGTGTGCAAGTTTCTCTATTCGCATCGCATCTCATCCTCCAGAAAATGTCCCGCGCGAAGCCCGGAGGGCCGTTAGAAATTTCCGGAGCGTGCCCTGTCCAATCGCTTTGCCAGCGAGCAACTACTTTTCACGAGACGCGCTGCCCGAAGCTCAGCAAACGTTTCCAAAATTCCACAGAAAATCACTGAAGTTGAATGCGAGAGACTGGGAGGTACAAATTCAGGCTCCCACTTCGCAAACCATCACCAGTTCACATTTCTGTGCTCCGCTTTCAAAGAGTCCCCGCAATTCCTCCACACAACACTTCGATTACTTCTTCGCAAATAGTTGGTCACTATTCCTTCTTTCTGCAATCATGGCCGTTTCTCGATCCGCTCTTCTCGTCCTAGCTCTCGTGGGCTTTGCCGTTGTCTGTTCGGCTCAATCACCCGCGCCCAAAACAACAACTTCGCCCAAGACAACTCCCGGGAAGACCGCCGTAGGAGCACCATCTCCGCCCGCCGGAAAGGCGCCGCAGACGCCGTTCGACGAGGCGATCCAGAAGCTCAACAATTCGGGTTACACCAGCTTCGTCTCCCTCGTTAACGCCTACGGTACGAACCGCAAAGTACCGCGACGAGCCACGAGCTTCATAACTGAGTTACCGACTTTACATTGCTTCGATTCCCGATTTCACTACGTTTCAAAGCGACTCGTCACAACTCAATTCTCCTTCCTCGTCGATCATATTCTCCCCCTCTCTATCCCACCCGCGCGACTCATTTCCCAACAGACAAGATGAAGGAGGTCAAGGCGGGTATCTCCAAGCCTTCCGCTCTGGCCGCGGAACCCGCTCAACCACTCTTTCCGCTCATCCATTCGCCCTCCCTCCCACTCGCTCTTCCCCTTCCCCTCTCCCCTCCCCATCAGGCAAGATGAAGGAGGTGAAAGCGGCTCTCTCGAAGCCTCTCACCATGCTGGTGCCGTCAAACGCGGCGATCAGCAAGCTCCAAATCACCAAGTACAAGTCCACAGAACTCATGGTGGTCGTCGGATTCTCCGCCTTCAAGAAAGTCATCCCCTCCGACGCGCTGCAAGCCCTGCCCGTGGGCAGCAACATCACGACTCTCGCGAGCACCAAGGCGGGCAAGCCAATGACGCTGCAGAAGCTCGCGAACAACAAGAAGGGGCAGGTGGTGCTGCAGGGGAAGAAGGGCAGCACGATGACGATCACCAAGCTTAACTTCTACTTAAAGCCTAACAAGCTCGTCGTGCACACCACGGATGCTGTTGCGTTCCCCGCCACGCTCCAGGGCACCGTTTTGTGAAGAGACAGTAAGCAGGTAACGGGGCTTCGTTAGGGGAGAACAGCAGCCGCCTGCCGCGCCGCGACGCGCAAATAAGCGGACATGCGAGCGCGTCCGCCGCTTTCGGCGGGTTCATGCGCCGCAGCCGATACTGATCTAGGATTACTTACAGCGTACGCCCACCGCTGGACGACGCTCATAAGCAAAATGTAGTAGACACGTTAGTGAAGGCGTTTATCCAGTAGCGTTTTAGCTTGAAACGATCTGCTGGGTAGGGTGTTCGTAATATGAATTTCTGAATGACCGTTTCTTTGAATTTCTGGTCCAGAGTGACGCTTTCAAGCTGTGACCATAATTCTTGATGTTCGGTTCACCGTGTTTCCCAACTTCTGGATTGCTCTCTTTGGCAAGTGTTTGTGGAGGTGCCAGTGTAGGAGGTGCAGGAGACGTCTGGCCATGAGGTTATCTTAGTGAATGGTGATATTAGTGCACGGGATACCACACGAAAGAGCACATTATGGCGTTAAAACGTGTCAAGCTAATTCAGAATCGCCACCCCCCAAACAACTGCGCACTGAACCCGTTCAAGTAAACAAACCAACAAGACTGTCGTGTGCATCTCATCTGCACATTTGGTTCTGCACAACAGCGAGGAAACCGTGCCTGCCCGTAAAGCAGGCTCTGTAGGGTTTTGCAGCCCTCCTGCACTCACATCAGGCACTGTGAGACGTAACTGGGCCGCGACAGCGATTCTCTGTCGAGGTAACAATGTATCCATTTGCAGTTTATGGCTTTCGTCAATCCGCCAACCATGGTTCTTGGCGAAGTTACGCGCTATTGGAGCGCGCCGTCGATTTGACGCAACAGTGATCGTTGATATTGTTACACAGTTATTTGAGATGTCGCCGACATTGTTCATTCTATCTTTTGAAGTCCGTGGTAACTTCTGCAGCCCGCTCGGTGAGCCGCGGTTCAAAGAGTTGATGCGAACATTTCAACAGAAATCAACTCTGTCCCGCCGTAATGATTTCGCACACCGACAGTCCCGTGCCTGTCGACACGACAGCCGTGAACTGTGTCCGTTCGATCGCCGCGTCCTCTCGTGGATGTCGCAAAACCGACAGCATCTCGTTTTGAGGAGGGAAGAGCGAACCAAATCCACCGTCCGAACCCAACCCACGTCGCACAGGTTACATCCAGGAAGAGCTCTGATTGGTGGTGTTCAGTGCAACTTTCCCCGGGCGCATCGCCGCATTCTTCGGACAATGTCGCGCACAGACAGCGTCAGCAGCAGCACCCGCGGTTTGCAGGGAGCAGAACTTACCCGCCCGAGACGCGTTTTCCGATAATTCAGGAAATGTTATGAAATTTCCACCGACAGAATACGCATGTTGAATTCGATGCTCCCGTGCTGCTACAAATTCAGGCTTTCATTTCAATTCGCCACTCGTCACAAATTCACACTCCGCCTCGTTGGAAAATACTTTCCACATTTCTCACTTTCCATACGTCGAGTTCGGCCACTGCAGCTTCCACCGCTTTAGAGTATAAAAGCTCGTTTTCCTCTCTCTCCCAGTCAAACATGGCGGTGTTACGTCTATCCCTTATGCTGCTTGCTCTCGTGAGCTTGGCCTTTGTGTGCACAGCACAAACCCCGTCGCCTAAAGAAATTGCCGCGCCTCCAGCGAAGGCAGGAACAACAGCAGACGCCGCTGACGCCGTTCGACGAGGCGATCCAGAAGCTCAACAATTCGGGTTACACCAGCTTCGTCTCCCTCGTCAACGCTTACGGTAAGACGACGAGTCACGAACTTCAAGGCTGAATCACCAACTTCAAACCTTTTCGGTTCCAAAAACATTTTGCTCCGAGGCGTCCCTCGTTTTGTCTCGTCGTGACGACCTCACGTCGATACCAAGCCACCCTGAGCGTGTTACTACTACCAATTCTGTCACCTACGCTCAACTGACTTTCCATTCCCACCCCCTCTCCCCGCCACCAGGCAAGATGAAACAAGTAAAGGACGCTCTCTCCAAGCCTCTCACCATGCTGGTTCCGTCCAACGATGGGATTGGAAAGTTAAAGATTACCAACTACTCATCCAAGCAACTGATGGTGCTCGTCGGATTCTCGGCATTCAAGAAGGTGATTCCCGCCGATGCGCTCAAGAGCCTACCCGAGGGGAGCAACATCATCGCGAAAAAGGAAAGCTGCGTTTTTTGGCCCCCGAAGGTTTTTCTGCGTCGGCCTTGCGAGAATGTTGCGGAAAGCTGCGGGAAAACAACGCACTCAAATCGCAACATTCCGCACACCGGAAACGCACGCGTACAGTCGATGCCCAACCGTGCACGCGAAATTGCCTTGCACATTCCAGAAACCTTGCACCCTTGGGTTTCTTGCCGCGAAGTTGCACCTACGTTACAAGCACGTCGACCAATAAGAGCCACAGAAACGGAAGTCTGACTGATGAGACTGCAGTCAACAGTTACAAAATTTTTATATAAGCCCTTTTTGCCCGATGCGAATTGACGAAACCACCGCGAAATGCAGAATCACTTATACGCACATGGGGTAGGCCAAAGTTGGGGGGCTCAACCGGGCATCATGTGTACACCATCCGCAAAATGGTGACTATGCAGTAACAAGGCCGCAAAGGTTGCAGAAACCAGAAGCGCACGCCTACACCCCGAGTCGCACTCGCGTTGTCACATTTCTCGAACCAATGTCCCCGTTATGGTACGTGCGGTTCGTCCGTTCAGTCCTTGTATAACATGTGACCGCAAACTAAGTTGACGCTTACACACAACTGCCAAACATAATTCCACTCAATGTTCACTCCAATAACAACCACTATTACATCAACAAGACCACCCCGCCCCCGTCAACCAGTCGTACTGTCCCGCACACCCACAACTCCCACTCCTTGGTCCCGCTGCAAACAACTGCATCACTCGTCGTCCTCACTCTTGCGCACCGCTGGGTCTGCCACGTCCTCAGTGCGCAGCCCCGCGCGTGCATGCTTGACAGGCGTCCTATCGAGGCGGGAAATCACCTCCTGGTTAGATGCTCCGACCTCTGCTGGCACGAGGGCCGGGGGAATGCCGAGCTCATCGGCACGCTCCACGTACGCGTTTGTGACGTTGCGAGTCACGCGCCTCCTACTGCGCTCGTCACGCAGCAATGGGCCATCCGGCAGGCTCATCTTGCCCGACGAGTCGTCAGACACGCTTGCAGCAGGCGTGGCCCTGAACCCCTGCTCCACGCAGAGCCCCGCGTCGCAGTTCATGAACTCCGCCGCCGTCATGTAGCACGCAGGCCGCATCTTGAACTTCTCGATGAGCAACTGCAGCTCGACGCATATCGCAATGAGGGGCTCAAACATGCCCGTTGCGCTCGTGTCGCTTAGGTACGCCATCAGTGGCGGCCAGCTCGGGGGAACGCATCCGGCGCGCCACCAGCTCCTCTGCATGGTTGCTGCGCGCACACGAGTCCACGATTCTCCCAGCCACTCGAGCATGAGGCCATAATCCACGTCGGCGATGGAAGCCGAATAGTCGAACTGGAACCGCTTCGCCGCTATTGCACGCTTCATCAGCATAATGCGGTAATGGCCCTTCAGCGCACCCTCCACTCCCTGCAGGTGCGGAAGCCCCCCTTCAGGAACCGACCCACGGATGTTGACGATTCAGGTGTTCGTGAGGTGCTGCACACTGAAGCCGTGCTCCGTGACGGTGATGCGATGCGCCTCGTGAGTGGTTAGGATGAAGGTGTTGCGATCACGGCTGAAGTGCACACCATTGACGGTCTCCACGAACTCCGTGAACACCTGTGCGCATATCACACGACACCCAAGAGCACATCACCATCAGAATCGCGGTATGCACACATATGCGGCACAAATTAAACCAGCACAATTCACGCGAATTGGACATGGTGACTCACCTCCGGCGTCAACCGCCCGCGGTGAGTATACCGGACGGCCACCTTGCGACATGCCGCACTCCCCCGCCTGCGCTCGGGCCTTTCGAACGGCGATAGAACCACCAGAGGCACCGCGGAACAACTCCCCGTCGCGTTGTAAAGGATGCCGACGCTTACAATCCGCTCCGCCCCATTGCGCTTATCCGGAATGTATGTCTTCGGAAGGCGGCTTGGAAGGATATTAATCTCATGGAAGGAGAACACGTCGTCCGGGTGCGCGGTAGCCAGCAGTCCCTTCAGGTCACCCATTGTAGCACTCTGACAACCAGGTTGGCAATTATGCGTTGAAGGCCGGAAGACCCCGTACTATATATGTTTCACTCTACCGGAACGTACCCCCATTTTGCCCCTGTACGCACACTACGTACTGCGGTTGACATGCGCAACACAACCAACCTAACACTACCCCTGCGCCGCTCGAAGATAACGCACACATGTGAAACGCCCATCTGTAACGTTCAGATAGGCCATCTTGCACCCTCGACGCCACGTACGCGTCACCCATATCCGACCAGCCAACGGCCTGTGCTCGGTCGTGTACACCACCAGACATTGAAGCGCGTCAACCTCGACCGCACAAACGTCACCTGTACCAGTGTCCGTTATTGACATGGTTTCCAAAATGCCAGCACATTAGGATTATGTTTAGCCACCAACAACTACTTTTATCATATGACAGGAGTGCGGCATTCGCATACACAATACGCACTAGCAATCACATGGACAAGTGTTCATATTAGATCATCCGAGTCTATGGCGTGTCACCAACGGCAACACGCCCTACATACAAACCCATCAATTCCCGCACACTTTCGTGCACCTACTGCAATCCTGTACCCACAAATCATGCCTTCCACACAGCAAAAAAAGGAGAGCGTGCGGTTTGCCACTGCGTGGATCAGCACTGCCGTTCCACCCTTCCAACATGCATCGTCACTCACAAAGTAAAAACCTGTTCACTAATTGCACCTTATTGTTGCTGTACGAGGGGACCACGTGCACAACTCTCTGCAGGCTGCCCAGCTCCACCACCGAGTACTTCACCTTCTGTACTTTCTTGTGAAGCTGCGTGCACCCTGTAAGCTTGCAGCTTCCCGCCTTCTCGTAGTACCTCACATATGCGTACCCCTTCCACTCCCCATCACGGTCCACCGCCCTGAAGATGCACAAACATCTTGCATACCAGTCCCCCTTCTTGTTGTTCAGAAGTGCCACGTCCGAATACCACTTCTCTCGGGGAGACGCCTTCACAAATGTCCCTTTTGCTACGAGCTCTCCGCCTCTTGTGCGCGGAATGGCCACCGCCGTGTGGACCTGTCACACCAGGGTACCCAATCCAGCACCATTAGCATCATGAGTTCAGTGCAAACCAGCGTGACAACCCCGGGTACGTCATGTACAGCTACAACATAAACACCTCACCTGCACGTTGTTGGTAGACAGCCCCAACGCCTTGAACTCATCGGCCATCTCCTTCATCTCGTCTCCAAGCGCGGCGGTGTACTCAGCGTACACCGGATCCGACACTCCGACTATGCGCATGATCCGATACTTCTTTGTAAGCACCGGTTTCCTCGTCTTGACTGCCTGCATGTGACGCCCACATTCTCACAACAAACCGCATACTGCTTGAGGCACCCAAGTCCATGGTAAACCGCTATACGGTATACTCTATGTGCACATCATAGAACCCACAACACCAGTACGCACCTCGCGCAAGGCGGACGCGTATTGTCGCCCACCCCCCGCGTCTACAGCCACCTCACGGTACACCTCTCGCTGCACCTCCTCCTCCACAATTCGGCGTCGAATGTCGCTCTAGTTGCTCCCTCTTACTGGACCCTTAACCGTGCCCTTGTGCGTGCGCTCCCACATTTCCGTGGAATAATGGTGCGGCATCCCACGGTGCACAACGTTGTCCAGTAAATGCCTTATGATGTGTATCTTTGGGAGTCTCCAGTGGGATGCCTGCTTTGGAAATGCTATCGGTAGCAACTCCACCAACCTGCCACACCGTCCACGAAAGCAGACAACACTCGATGACCCATCGTGTATCACAACACGTTGGCCGCACAATCAAACCGGATAGGCTCCCAACAACCCGACCAACCACGGTGCCGTACGCATTCATGTACTCACGCTATCGCATGCTGACGGGCAATCGCAATTGTTGTATGTGTGTGCCTGTCAACCCCCAGAAACGCCTTGTAAAACACAGCAAACAGCCGGAACGCTTTGACCTGCAAAGCACGCAGCTCTCCCTCCTCTCCACCCTTCAGCGCACTCTCGTCAGCCACCAATATCGGCATTATCTGCATCATACTCCTGTGCTCGAAAGCGGCGTAATTCGCGCCTGAACTGAAGAACGATGAGCCCCCTGGGATTCGGAGGAGAACGCTAGGCGTTATGCCCTTGAACTCCTTCTTGCATCTGCGCACATCACGGATTCGAGGAGCTCATGTAGCGGCACACATGGTGTCATACAACCATACTGATCATGCCCAGCTCACCCACCCAACTACACCCATCTCACCGTTCAAGCAGCCGCATCTCAACCTTCCCGAGCGGCTCTATGTAGGTGTCCATCATGTGGATCAGCACACCAGAGTCCAGAACATGCAATGTGTCAACGAGGCATGCCAGATACACGTTGCCCCACTCTGTGTCTGCGAAATTCCACCTGTGAAGCATGCACTGCACGGTCCAACAGAGGACACGATGGTGTCAACACGTTCCCCCTGTAATAAAACAGCAAGGATACTATCCAACTCCAAACACACCTCGATCGGATGGGTTGACCACAACCTCCGCACTTCGTCAGCGTCGCCTTTCTTCTTACACGCCAGGATCTGGCGGACAATGTCCCTCTGCTGCTCGGGGGTACGTGGATCTACCTTCCCCACCATCTTGGTCATCTCCCCCTTGTCTGCATAGCAGTTAGCGCAGGGTCGATGCGACCCTTGCTGAAGCGTCGCAGATGCTCTGCTGGATTCCGGGAAGTCGGCAGGGTATCCGTACAGGCAAGGGACCGCCTTGTGCACCTTCCCGTCCGCGTCTGTGCAGTAGAAGAAGCGAACTGGCGCGCTGCGCAGTGTATAGATGCACACATGGTGTGCAGTCAGGGATGGCACGTGTACAAAACAAGGTGTCCTCTCACAACTCACTACTTGCTGGGGTGCCGACCACGGGCTCATACGTGTATCGTATTCAACACCACCCCCCTCTCCCCCTAGTACCTTGCAGACTCTCGCATGATGGGCGCGAGGATGATCTTCAGTGCCTCCTGGAAGACGCGCGTCTTCTCCGTAGGCGATGCCCACTCAGGTGGGAAAGGAAGCACCGCCGCCAATGTGCGTCCAGGCTCCACTCCACGCAATTCCTCCGGTATGTTGATAAGTGAGATCAGCACCGGCCACGCGTTCCTCCTGCTATCCGTTCCGTGATGCCTGGGTGCTATCACTGTATATCAGCACGCCTAGAATGAGTGCATCCTCGTCATTAATCTCCTTCTGCCATGTACACAACACGTGCAGGTGAGCTGTGGTTGTTCACCTCCATGTAGCATGTTGTAATACACAAGGCATGGGGAGAGTCTAAACGCTACGCGTATCTGAGCAGCGTGCATCTAATCACCCGTCTCAGGTCCTTCAAATACCATCTCGTTATTCTTCTTTCGATGAATCTTCCTTGGTTTCCAAACGAAACCCTTCTTCGATGAGAACGTACGCACCAGCTTTTTCAAAATCTGCGGGCATCGAGGTGGAACCAGGTGTGAGCGGGAGTATGTGGACAACGGTGGTTAAGGGCGTGACGTAATCACGACGTCGCGAGCTGAGTTGGGCTCCTATTACGAACCAGCTCTGTGTCGCGGAAGTGCAGTAGCAGCTTCATCTGCATCCCTTTGGGGCCCCGCACCACTATTTCCTCCGTTTTCCAAGGGACCATGTCGGCCGGAGCTCGCGCCATGCCCCAGCGGCGCACGTCCACCCAGTTGCGCCATCGTCTGAGGGCCCGTAGGTTGAAGCGCGGATTGCGGAAAATGTGTAACAGACGGTTAACCTCCCTGTGCGAAAGATCGGCGTCACGGAAGAAAAGGTACAACTCAGTCAGAGTATCGAAAATCTCCGCCCTCACGCTGTCCTCCGAAGACTCGGCTGTTTCGCCGTCAGCTGGTGTATCCGCGTCGTCAACAAGACTGACTTCGGGGATCGAAGCCGTTGGGGCAACAGATACAAAACCGCCATCATTATCCTTAAGACGGGAGGCCGGTGGTGTGTTAGGTCTACTCTATCCGTCACATGCAAGGGCTTCCAAATATGCAGCCAACAACAGACTCTCTCGTTTCCTCTTCAACTCGGCGCGACAAACTGCACCATTGGCGACATGAGACTGTAACCTGCTGTCGTCCTTAAACACCGTCTCGCACACCAGGCAACTGTTTCCCGTCATCTTACAGCCTTGAAACCCTAGGGGGCCCAGCAGTAAAAACCCCGTTCAGTACCTCATGTGCGCTCTAATATAACTCAAAGGACCAATTTACCGCACACACATGTGCAGGAAGGCGTGAACCTTGTGCAGGGAACAATCGCCCATGTGTTACACTTTATCAATATACACCCTACCATAAGAATGAACTATTTACTAAAAGCAGTGTCTCTATTTGTTTTTTTTTTATGTTTAAATAAGTACGCACGTCCCGTTGTGTCGTCCGCGAAGGCGTGAACTTATGTCATTCAAACACAACGAACACAAAGTTGGTCGGAAATTTCCTATGTGTAGTCGCGCAATGCACGTATACACCCCCATATATTTAACACAACATACAAATATAGCAAAACATGGTATGACCGCGTCTTGTCGAGAAAATTAGGCAAAAAGAGAGAGGGTTGAACTAGCAAGAATGGGGATACAAATAGAAAACCCTAGAAGGGTTGTACTCGCTACAGAGCACCCCACTGCAGGCTAGACAAATATAACATTCTGACACACCCCCATAGCCAAAGTGGGGTGTAATCAGCAGAGCAAGCAAAGCAGTACAAGCTCAGGGTGGATCACGATGTCACCACACATTCTGAGCACAAGTTCAAGAAGCAACAGTTTATAAGTTATGAGCAAAGCTAGAGGCGGTCACAGAGGACAAATGAGGAGGAGGAGGGCTGGCGAGAGGAGAAAGGAGTGGAGGCGACGACTGAAGCTGCAGACACACGGGCATCAGACGGCTCTGGCGCAACGCTAGTGGCTACCGGAAGCAGAGCCCCGGACTACAGGGGTAATAGTCGCTGCGGAGGGTGCAGCGGACCCACGGGCGACAGGTGCAGCCGGCTCTCTGAGCTACCGGAGGTCCGCGGAACCCCGGAATACAGGTGCTGCGGACGACACGACGGCAGTCTCCGCTCAACCTCCCCCAACAGTCCCACACCCCTCGACACACACCCCTTGCTTCACCCCTAGCTCCACTCCCACGGTACCCCCCCTTAAACCCCAAACCCTAGACTCCCACACACCACCCCCCTCAGCGGCAGCTGCAGTAGAGGGAGACTAGGGAGGAGGAGGAGTAGGTAGAGTAACGCACAACCGACACCCCCACAGCCGCCACCCCCACACTCCCCACCCCCAAACCCTAAAACGGGCGAAAGGGAGAAGGAGCGCGGGGGACGGCGAGGGGGAAGGCGCGCGACCCCCAGGGCGCCACCTCTGGGCAGCGGGGGCCGCGCGCGGCTCCCCAGGGCGCCTCGACGGGGCAGCGGGGGGCCGCGCGCGGCTCCCTAAGGCGTCGCGACGAGGCAGCGGGGGCCGCGCGCAGCTCCCCACGGCGTCGCGACGAGGTAGCGGGGGGCCGCGCGCGGCTCCCCAAGGTGTCGCGACGAGACGTCGGGGGCGACGCGCGGGGCTGCGGGGCGACGCGGGGGGTCGACGGCGACGGGGGGAGGGCGCTTCGACGGTGGGAAACCGCCGCGCGCCTCGGGGCGCACGGCGTGCAGAAAACCGCCGCGCGCCCCGAGCGCACGGCGGGATGAAAACCGCCGAAACCCTAGAAAAAATTCGTCGCGCAGGAAGAAGTCGTCGCGCGCTCGAGGCGCCCGGCAGGAAGTACAGCAGCGGAAGCATTAGGTGGTGGGCCCACCCACAGGATCGACCCAGGAGGGTCGACCTGCTCTGATAGCATGTTGAGAAGAATTAGGCAAAAAAGAGAGGACTGAACTAGCAAGAATGGGGATACAAATAGCAAACCCTAGAAGGGTTGTACTCGCTACAGAGCACCCCACTACAGGCTAGACAATAATAACATTCTGACATCTTGAGCAGGCATTTTAGTGGGCGCTGGTTGTTGCATGTGTGGGCGTTGAAGCTAGGGGGGTTATTTCTATGCATGGCTGCGTTGTATGTTAGTGTGTGTGTGTGTGTTGTTAATGGGAGAAGTATTCATTGGGGTATCGACGCATTTGTCAGGACAACAAGGACACACCAGGTTGCGAAATACAGCGGCTAGACCGTCAACCAGGTGTGATGGATGGCGTAGACCGCGCCGCACTTTGCGGCGCTTTTCACGGTGCGTGACAGGCATCACGGCAATGTGTGGACATAAAAGTATCCGCGGTGCGCACGCGAGGACAACTGATTGGATGACATGGATAAGAAATGAGGACCAACCAATTGCACACAAGGGTTGCAAGCGCTCAAGTACGCGTGCCACCGTCCGCATATGGGGTTGACGGGGAGGGTCGCAACTGAGATAGGCGGTTAGAGTGCAACAGCTGTACGGTCGTGATTGATTCGCGAAGACGTTGCGAAGGTGAGCAACGATATGATGGTCCAATGGTTACTGTATGTGTGAGATCACGATCGGACGGCAAGTGTACGTGGTGGATCGATTAATTGTGCGTGACGTGTCAGCTCGGTGGTGGATACGATGTATACAGATGGACGACACAGATGGCGTCGTCAGGTAGTAGCGTGTGCAAAACCACTGGTTGGCGAGATAGCTGGCGAAGTGTACGAGTCGGTTGTGACGCGACGGGTGTACGGTCAGTATGCGTTGTCGTGCCCGTTAATGACGGTGAATGCGCAAGTGGAGTGAAGCCACGTGGTAGCACGCTAGTGGGAATCAGCGGCGTGATTTGCGGTTAGCGCCCCTGTGGATTGCCTCCAACTGTCAACTGTGTACTGGATGTGCGTCAATCAGATGTACGGTGAAGAACCGCGCGCGGTGTTTGCGCGAGCATGGGCGACTTAGTGTTTGCGAAGTCGTAACATGGTGTGCGAATTTTTGTACAGGCGACACGTGAACCGTGTCGATTGCGTGACCCGAGTGTTCATCCAACTGTTAGGGGGCGTGTACGTTTTGGGTGCATGTACGCTGACGTGGCCGTGCGGGTTGAAACAGGGTGCCACGTGGGTGTGCGCGTACGGAGTGGCAGTTGGGGTTGCGTACTCGTCGCTTTCTAGTTGGTTGGGGCAGTATGGTTAGCTGAACTTTTGTGTGGCGCTGCCCGTGACTGTGCCCCAACTGCGACGATGCGGGTGCAGTGGCAAATTTGATGCACACATATGTACAGAATGTCGCGGGAAAGTGGACGCAAAGTTACTTTGTAAGTGACTGTCGCCATGCAGATCTAAGGGCATGTTCCTACGGCCCCTTATCAGGCCAACCTCTTATCAGGCTCGCGTCACAACACACTGAAATTTCCCTA